TCTGCGAGAACGTCTGCAATCTCTCTATCGTTATCCACAATTTTTTTGTTAACTTCTAGACAATTTATTTTGTGGTGGATATTAGTTCCCGAAATTCTTTTAATTTTTTTCCAAATATCTGTCATTGGTGTAGAGTTATTTATTGTTGATATATATTGGATCCATGATTGACGTTTGGCCTTCTTAATAGTGAGTCTAGTGATGGCCCTAAGTCTTTTAAATTCAATTTCATTTTCACGAATTTTTGTTCTTTTATATTTATTGAAAGCATTTTTACTTGCTTTAATGGCTTTTTCGCGCATTTACTATTCCACCAGGGAACAGGAGTATGATGTTTAATGTAGGTTGTTTTACCAATGAAATATTCAGCCGCTTGCAGGATTATATTTATGAAATATTCTAAGGATTCGTCTATATTTTTTGTTATTGGGCAGTTTCCTATAGTTGATTCTATTTGTTGACAAAACAAATTCCAATTAGCTCTTTTGATGTTCCATTTTGGTATGGGTGGTGTATCTGATTTCTGTTGGCTAATTTCTAGAATAATCGGGTAATGATCGCTGTTGTATGTGTATTGCAGTGCATGCCATGAAATTAACGGATATAAATCGCTATCGCACATAGATAGATCTAGGGTTGTTGACTCACCTGTTCTTATATTAAACCTTGTCGAGGTGCCGTCGTTTAGTAAAGACAAGTTTAAGGTATCTATTATTTCTTCTATGATTTTTCATCTTTGATCATCATATTTGATTATATGCATTCATATCTTCTAGAATGATCCTGGGAGATGGAATTTGTTTTATTAGGTCAAGGAGGTCAATTTTATCTATTGCTTCTCCGGGTGGTAAATATATATTACATACACTGAGAGAAAAATCTATTAACCATTAGCAAAAATTGAATAACAATTATTAGAAACTTGCATGAAATAGGCGCCAAGTAAGCTCTATTCTCACAGTTATTAAAGTCACTTTCCTGATCTGCACTGAATAACCATTATTATATAAATTTTGTTTAAAATGTAGTATAACAGTTATTCAGTGCACTTAATTACGATTATATATTTTCCTAATAGCATTTATACCGTTATAGGGCTAAGGTTATTAGATTATCTAATAATGGTAATAATATCAGCTGGATGTAATATAACAGTTATTCAGTGCACTTAATTACTATTATATATTTTTCTAATAGCATTTATACTGTTATGAGGCTAAGGCTATTATATTATCTAATAATGGTAATAATACCAACTGGATGGAGTAGAACAGTTATTCAGTGCACTTAATTACTATTACATAGTTCCCTAGTAGCAGTTATACTGTTATGAAGCTAAGGCTATTTGATTATCTAATAATAGTAATGTACTTAATTACGATGATCGGGTAGCCTACTAACCCTTATTGCCCGTTCCAATAGCAGGTATAAGGTTCTATATCTTCAGCTATTTAACTTTCTAATAATTATTATTACATCCAATAAATTTTAGATTTCATTCAAATAATTATAATTCGACGTTTTTATTATTGGTAATAAAATTTTATTATGTTGGCTACAGGCTGCAGAGTGTCTCACGAGGTTTTGCCCTTGAATATCTTGAAAACTATTCAAATGACAAATATGGAAGTTGACAGTCACGAGTAATCAATACTGACAGTTGTACCTACCATAAAATGACTTCTGGTATTTCTCGCATTTCCGGTCACGTGATACCAACTTCAACTTTTTTAAATATGACATCCGGTATATTATTATATTTTTAGATTCCCCTCGATGAGCTAAATTTAACAAACTATAATACTTTTGGTTTAAAGTGACACGTCTAGGAGCTATAGACAGTTAAAGATAGATCAAAACGACTTGCACGTCCTTATCTTCATTTTTTGATAACTATCTAGTGACAAGAGAAAAAATATAATACAGGGTAGTCAACAGTCCAGATTGTTTTTACCACTCTATTATATTTTTTTCGTCTCATTAAATAGTGCTTTCAAAATTAAGAGAGGGACATGTAAGCTGTTTTTATCTATCTTTAACAACTCAAAAAACGCTATTTTAAACTGTCTACAGTTCCTAGATGTGACACCTTAGACCACAAGTTTTATAGTTGGTTGAATTCGCCTCATCAAGGAAATCTAGAAATATAATAATATACCAAGTGTCCTATTTAAAAAAATTAAAGTTGGGATCACGTGACCGGAAATGCGAGGAAAACCAGAAGTCATTTTGTAGTAGATACAACTGTCAGTATATGACTGCTCGTGACTGACAACTTTCATATTTGTCATGTGAATAGTTTTCGAGATTTTAAACGGCCCAAACCTCGTGGGACGTCCTGTACAATAATAAAAAAATGTTACAACAATAAAATCCAGTATTTTACCTTTGTTCGTAAAGAATATAAAGTTACATATCACAATTTTCTGGGACACTTGTATGTAACTAATGGACAATACGGTAACTGTAGGGAGAGGTTATAAAAATAGGTCGATTAACATGAACATGCATTAGTAAAATGTTAATAGTAAACAATATACAGGGTTTAAAGGTGACATATTATTTTTGAAAATTCGTAGTAGTTGGAAGACAGCTGCATGTATTGAAGTCAAAATTGGTACACCATAGGTTTTTATTGTGTTAAATAAGAATTTGTTATTACTTTTTATGTCCCTCCTAGAGGGCGATAGTCACAAGGTTCGAATTGGGCCAACTCACATTTATTTTTTTACCCCCTGTATTATCTCAGTTTCATGCTGAATAATGAAACCTTCATTATTTTAACACAAAAAATGTAATTTGTTACATCCCCATATTTCAAGGAGTTTTCGAGATATTGTCATTTTAGTAAACAAAACATTAGTTGTTTAAAAAAACTATTTTAATTGTGAAACAATAACAAATGGTTGTAAGATTTAATTCGTGTTAATCGACCCAGATTATTTAGATTTTTAAAAGAAACGTGTTAAGATTTAAAAAATTTTCATTTATTAATAAAACCTAAAACTGTTAAAAAAAATACAACTTATTGCAGTCTGAAAATCTGTCATATAAAATATAAAAATACTAATATATTCAACAAAATAGCTTATGACTGGTAATACAAAAAAAAAACATTTAAGGTCGCATCATATGGTAAAGTTTTTTATTGGTAATTTTACGAAAAATATTATTCTTCATAAAAAGTTATGCATGGTCTATAACCTACATTTCAATAATCAGATATCAAATTTTTAATTTAATTATTAATTTTTTTTGTCAAAGGTAAAGTACCTTTATTTTTGAAAATATCGAAAATTGTTTTTAGGAAAAGTTGTTCAGATTTAAAAATAAGGTACTAATATGCACTAACGTTTGTTTACAATAAAAAACAATTTATTATTCATTTATTATCCCTCTAATTCGGCCTTATTGGTTCAGCACAGTTTGACACAAAAGTTGATATCTAGTAGTTGCTTTTAAAATTTTAGACCATGCAAAATTTTTTATGAAGCATAAATGTTTTTCGTAATATTAACAATAAAAGTTACGTATATGCTTCGAACTTCAGTGAACACACTGTAGAAAAAAAAATATCCTAAGCTTTTTGTTCACTTAATGAAACGACTTAAAACTAGTTATAAAAATAAAACTTATTTCACAGTTAAACTATAATTACCCTGTTATATTAATATCTCTATTATAGGAGATAGATACCTAAAAAAGTTATACTGCAGCACATCAAAGTGATGCTTTTTAAATGGAACACCCTGTATATTTTCATGTTTTCTAACTCTTCTCGAAAAACTAATCTTACAGATACATAAGTAAATATTTAGAGTTAAAAATTACCTTTTTTCAACTTTAAGTCACTTTTTGTCAACACTACTAAAAATAAAATAAAGGTGCATACTCTTCAAGTTGCCACTCTTTTAATAATCCTACAAAACATGATGCCGCCATTATGCACAACCAGCCACAGTGCCACAAATCAACAGGTATGAATTTGTTATGGTACACAACACAATAAAAAAGATCATAAAGTAAATAAGAAAAGAAGTAACTATTGTCTTAGACAAAAACCAACAAAAACCATGGAGCAATAATAAAATAAAAAAAAAATCTGATCTAATCCAGTCACTTCAGTACTTCGCTCTCTACACTCTAGTGAACAACTTACAGAAAATAATGGCGATGACGGATGACGTCGTAAATGGTGGTGAGATATATCGACCAATCAGTAGCCGCGGTGATGGCTTGTAGCTTGCGCAATCCAATATAGTTCGTTAATTTTGAAAACATACTCATATATTTTAATAACGGCTATATAAGAACTTAATTGTGGTAATTGAGGGGATCAATTTTATTTTTGCTGAATAATGGTAGGTAGTGCTAGAAATAACTACAATTAAGAGCTGGATAACCATTATTAAGGGAAATGTATAACGCAATATGTGTATAATCATAAGTGGAATTTCAGATAATCGTAACATTTAATCTAATAATGATTATTAGATGTGTTTAGCAAAACTATCTTTGCCACTGTAATTATGCACTCCATAAGGATTATTTGATTTTTTGTTATTACGATTAGATTTTTTATAATAGCAATTATCAGAAACACAGCAAAAACATATAATAGGCGCATTTTGCTCAGTGTATATTTAAATTGGTTTTTCCAATTATTGTAACAGCAACAGCCTCAAGGTTGCTTTGTAATGGGATTATTTTTGAGTCGTATTTATTATTAATTAGAATTGAGACTCCACCACTGGCAATATTTTGATTTTGACGTATTGTGTTATGGTAGTGGTAATTTTTCAAGGCTAGATTTGTATTATTTTTAAAATTGGTTTCTTGTAAACATAATATATATGGTTTTTGTTCAGATAAGATAATTTGGAGGATAGTTAGATTATGATAGAAACCATTTATATTCCACTGAAGAAGTTTATTTACAGCCATTTTAAATCAAAAATGTTATTCTTAATAAGTACTATTTTGTGAGCAGTCACTCTCAGTGTCAGATGTTATGCCTTGTGGAAATTCTAAGTGTTTCAGTAATATCTTCCTTATTTTGGTATTTCTATTTTTTTCAGCTCTTCCTTGAAATTGATAAATTTGTGTTAACATATCGATAAGTGCTGCATAATTTTGAGTGTAGTTTTGGGTAACACTAAGTGGATCTGACGAGCCCTTTACGTTTTCAAATAGTTCTGTTAGTTGGTTGTAATCGAGTAAGAATGGTGGATTCTTTTCTTTTCTTTTATAAAGTCTTCCAATGTCTTTTCGGGTAGGTTTGCAGATTTACTCTTCTTCTTTTTCGGGGTTGGGTCTAAAGGTTTTGTGAAATTTGGCGATGTTTCATCTAAGATGGGTGGGGAAAGGGTGTCATCGATATTTCTTTTTGTACTGCTCGGGGTCTGATCGATTTCCATAGCTGATGCGTTGGATTCTATAGCCTGCTTAGGTTGTTGCTGTTGAGGGTTATTTGCATTTTCTATTGAAGTAGCATTGGATTTTAACAACATGTTTTTTAATGGATTAGGCACAACAACAACAACAACAACAACGGAAGTAGATGCAGTAACTGCAGATGAAGGTGTTATGGTTTCGGGTATGGCAATTATAGAGTTCTGCGACTGATTTGGTATAGATGGAATTTCTGAGGGGTTGGTGCTTGTAGGTGCTGTTTTACAATTAGTAGATGTGTGGCCTTCTTGTTTACAATTAAAACATTTTAAAATATCTCGGACTAGAAAAATTCGATATGAAGTATTTTCATAATTAATTAGGAATGACTCTGGAATTGGCAATGCTGTGGGTTTAATAAAAACTTGTCGGCGGAAACTTAAAATGTGGTTAAATTCAGGCAATGATGCGCTATTTTTTAAGAAAGTTATTGGAGAAAGTATTGTAACTCCTATATGCTCGAGTTCCTTAATTAAAATATCATGAGGTATTGATGGACAGACATTGGATAGAATAATTCTTTCAGATGGGGTAACATAGCGACGAGCTTGTAAGATTTCATTATTAATCTCTATAATACCACTGTAGTCATTCATAAATTTTTCAACTATCTCCTGAGATGACAGGTACATACATATTCTATTATTTGAGAGTTTAGAGCAGAAAATTATATTTTTCGGATGAACAATTTCTCCCAGTGGTAACAAGTAATCTTGAAGTTTTGCTCCATCGATAGGTGTAAATATAATAGCTTGATTTTTTGAAGGATATTTTTGTTGTGTTAGAACTGTAGAGTAGCTTTGGTTGGTAGGATGATTCATTGCGGTGCTTCTGTAGTCAGAAGTTCCAGGTATAGTGTGCAGAAAATTAAGTCAATTTGAAATAATTCGAGTACGTCCCTGTCTATCTTCGACCATGCCGTGGAGATAAACAGGTTAAACGATAGTTTTTGCTAACTGATAAGATTTCTGCAATTGGTGTTGGATGTAGTTCTGTCGTTTAAACTTGAATTATCATTCAATTAGGAAAAGAAAAACTGTACTTACAGTTTATAATTGCAAGTGTATGCGATCACTAATACTTTGTTCACTGTATCACAATTTTTAAAACTATTTATAAACATAAAAATTGCTTTTTTAGCGAGAGCTTAAATTAAACACGCCGTTCTCTTAGAATATCAGGACCGGCCTCCTATAATTGCTTATAAAGGACAAACATTACAAATGTTTTAAATAGGTAGTATAATTATATTTAATACAAAAATTAATTATATTATTTTAAGAGTTAATTTATTAAGGACCGATTCCACCGTTGTGTTAAACATAAATTATTTTATAAAATAAAGTATGGAACTAGTAAGTTCGAAACTTTTATTTTACAAAATAATTTAGGTCGATTATACCAAATTTGAAGAATTAATTTGTTATAAGGGGTCTAATGTGGAGAGTTGGTTCTGCATATTTTTATTAAATAAATATAAGATATATCAATAAATAATAAAATAGAACATTCTGAAAATATGTTTATTAATAACTTAAATAAATATTATTAGATAAAAATAAATACAAATAATAATACATATTTAAGGAATACTTACTTGGAGCAAATAGATATATAATCTCAAATCTTTAAAATACCTATCAATAATTTAAATGTGAAGTAGAGACTAGGATATTACATTTTATTAACACTAAAGTTATATATTTTATAAATGTCTTTTTAACTGAGGACAAATGTAATATAGGTATTGTATTAAAAGGTGAATCCTTTTAACTATTCATTCAATGATAAATAGGTATTTTCCTTCCAAATACAGATGGTGGTATTACTCTCTTATGTGAAAAATGATTTCGGAATCTAGTCCAGTGATAAATTGATTATCAATTAGTTGTTGTCCCCGTTTATCTTTTTATGATGCAGATGCATGTTGAATATATGGTGAATCAATGAAGTTTTTCTCGAAGTTTTCAACGTAGCACCAAAATTATTGCAAAACACAGTAGGAAATAAAAAAGCGAAACATCACAATTTTGCAAATAACTAAGACGAAACTATAAACAGAAACCAAAAGCCAAAGCCAACAAAAAATCACTAAAATCAGACGGAAAAATGAAACTAACCAAGAACATAAATAAATACACGTCACATCTTTGGAGTCTTTGGTTAAGTTTTTCTCCCATAAGGCTTAAAAATGGAGTAAGAAATCATAATTTCACCAGTAGCCCCATCTAGAGTTTGGAGCAAATAGCATAAAAAATGTCAGTTGTCGGTTTTGACCTTGGTCATTCACGTGGAACCTCTATGTGCTTTGTGGTTAAAACCGTTTGAAATATTAAGGGTTCCGGTCCGGTTCTTAAAATTTAATTCTGGATAAAATAACGGTTCAGTTTCGGTTCCGGTCCAATAAAAGTTTTCGGTTCCGGTCCGGTTTTCTGTTTTTTACGGTACGGTCCGGGTCCCTGGCAAGCAGCAACTATAACAATACTTTTAAAGCCTATCCAGTTGATCCAACTGGCACGGCTTAAGACAAAAAAAAAGAAGAAGAAGACGAAGGTCATGAATAGTCACAGTGGGGATATTTCACATTTGACATTACGTTTAACAACAAAAAAAAATAAATAAATAAAAGCTGTAAATTGCGTTATATTTTTTAAACAATTAAACATTTTCATTGAAAAATGCCCCGAAATGTTGAGGGTAAAATTTTGACGTACTCCTTCAAGAATAACGGGTAAAAACTTTTTTTTTAAATTTCCCGCGGGTAATGTCAAAAATCAGATCGGCAACACTGCTAGGAACAACACTGGTTGTCTACCAAGTCAGCTGTCATACGTCAAAATTTTTGTTTTCATTTCATATTTATTCTCACTTTTTACTTATATATTTTTAAAAAGTTACTCGGTAAACTCAATATTGTGTTTTGGAAGGTTAATTTGTAGACAATAGTACATTGATAAATATACTGGGATAGTACCTAGTTTGTTATTGTTTATTCATTCATGGATGTGAAACAAGAACCCTTTGATCCTAATACAGAGGTAATTAAAATGGAAACAGATGTTGTTTCCGATAAAATAAATGGAAATGATTGGTGTCCTACAAAAGTAAAAACGTTTAAAAACGACCAAGACTCGGTGCTTGGTGATACTGACATTTGTGAATATCAAACAACGAGGGAGTTCGTAAATTTTGATGAGATCAAACTAGAATGTAAACTGCCTAAAATTGAAGGTTCTGAATTTCTGGAAAATATTGAGTACGAATCGGTGCGCGACAACATTAATAATATGTTTAACACCATGAAAAAAGAACCTGAGTATGCCAACGAAATTGAACCAGCAGATTTTGGCGATATCAAGCCTGTTATTAGCGAAACAAACGAATATATTCAGTTTAAAAATGAAAGTGAACTTTTGACGTCTCAGTATGATTTATCTACAATAAAAAGTGAGCCTATTGATTATCCAGATTATTTTGCACATCCTTGTAGCAGTAAACAAACCACAATAAAATCGCAATCATCAAAATATATTGTGAGAAATGTTCCTAAGCAAAAGAAGAGAGGGTATCTGTGGTCTGTTGTCCAAAAGCAAAAGAGTAAGTGCATTTATTAGCTTTTATTTGCCAAGTGACAGTTTGGGTTCGGTCCTTGGGTCTTCTTGAATTGAGATAGTTGGTCCAAACTTGATATATGGATAACATGACCATACATCCCAAAATAATATTTTTCTCCTTATATAGAATAGAATAATTTATTAACCTTCATTACATAAAAAGATACACAAGGCAAGTCCTACAATAAATATGTAAGTGTAAAATTTAACAATAATAATAATTTATTTTTGTATACCTATATCACACAGTTTTATTGATAAATTCCATAATAGAATAAAAAGAGCTTTTTTGTAGTTTTTTAATTCGTATGTTTCTTGTGATTTTAGTTCTTCAGACAAAGCATTATAGATAGTAATACTGTTATACAAAGGAGACCTTCTGAAAGTCATTGTCTGGTAGCTAGGAAGCCTTAAGTTGTCATTCCTTGTGTGATTAGAATGAATTTGAGATTGTTTAATAAATTCAGAGAGGTACTTTCTTGTAAACATAGTACATTTGAATATATATATATATACATGGAAATGTTAAATTTGATTTCGTTTTAAAAATGTTTTTGCAACTTTCGGTATTTTTTAGATTAAATATTAAACGAAGTGTTCTCTTTTGGGACACAAACACCGTATTACTCTCTGTGGCTTTTCCCCATGACAAAACATTATAAGATAAATGAGAATAAGCGAATGCATAATAGAGATCAAGCAAGCGTTTTTCATCCAAATAGCCTACCATCTGAAATATTGCATAAAAAGTGTTATTCAGTTGTCCACATACATAGTCTATGTGATGTTCAAAGCTCATGTTTGAGTCCAACCATGTACCCAATAGTTTGGCATGGGTTTCAAATTTAAATAGAAGTACTTTACTTATTGACTCTGGTAAAAATTTCTTTATATGGAAGTTTAAACATACCGTTTTGTCTTCATTAAGAATTAAAGAGTTTTTGTGGCACCATTGTTTCATTTTATTGAATACAGACAAGGCATTCTCTTGAAGCTCCTCCGGAGTCCTGCCTGTGACAGTTATTGTAGTATCATCTGCAAACATTATGGTCTTACCTCCATGTATATGTGTGGGCAAGTCATTTACAAAAAGCAAGAATATTAACAGTTCCAAAACAGAACCCTGAGGAACCCCCGAGAGATACAGGGTACATTTTTGAAATTTCAGTGTTTATTTTAACTAACAATTTACGGTTTCCTAAGTAGGACTCTATCCAGTCTAGCAGTTTCCCACGAATTCCCAATGTAGTTAGCTTATTTAAAATGAATTCTTTCTTTAGAGTATCAAATGCCTTTGACAGATCGAACATAATTGAAATGACATATTTACCTTTGTACCATTATATACATGAGTTAATAATTCATTAGTTGCAGTTTTGATAGATTTATTTTTCTAAACCCATGTTGGTTAATTGTGAGTATTTTATACTCATCATTAAAATCAGTTATAATATTATATACCCATCTCTCAAGTATTTTTGATAATTCTGATAACAATGAAATTTGTCAATAGTTATCTATGTTTGATGTTTCTCCTTTTTTATATAATAATCCCAAATATTTTTGGACATTCATAAACAGTAAAATGAAATGTAATAACTTACACAATGCACTATAATCGTAACCTAGCAGCAAATGGAGAACGAATTGTGGAAAATTTTGCAAATTACTTTGGTACAGTATACACTGACTCTTCTCATATAAATAGGAATAATAATAGTAATTTGGCCACATTTATTAACATTCCCTATCCATTGTTTTCTACTGAGTTGATTTTTGATAAAATACTTAAACTTCCTAATAAAAATAGTGTAGGATCCAATGGGATTCCAAATATAATTCTAAAAAACTGCATTTTTTTCCTTACACCGGCTATTTACATTTTATTTAAGCAATCTATTGTAAACTATGTTAATTAATTTTAAATCAATCAAATCGGATTTTAAATTAAATCAAAAATCGCCAGATATCTTATGCCTTTCGGAGACCTGGTGTAATGATGATAATATCAATATATTTTGCTTTGATGGATACCATCAGGCCACATTCTTTAATAGGACTGATAAGGAGCATGGTGGTGTCTTGATACTTGTAAAAAAATCTTTGCTGTTGTATGATATACCGCGATTTATTAGTGACAAAAGTGAAGAGTTAAATTTTGAATGTTGTTCAATTACGTTTAGTTTAAATGGACTTGGGTATTGTTTGTTAACTATTTATCGGGCCCCAAAGGGTAATCTTGATACGTTTTTTAATAAGATGTATATGCTTCTTAATTATTGTTATAGTCATTTCAAATGTATCATCATTTGTGGAGATTTCAATATTGATTTTTTAAAAGATTCACGAGAAAAAGTTTTATTAGTTGATTTGATGGAGTGTTTTAACTTGCGTTGTTTAAATAGAGAACCAACTAGAATTTGTACTGACAAAAACGGTAAAACGTCGCCGAGGGGCAAATCACTCTTTGTAAAAATG